AGGAAACTACTTCACGACACTTGAAAGCGTGTTTCGTATTATTTTATTTTTCTCTCTCTCTAAAAAGGTGTAGCTCATCTATCACTTTTGTTTAAAAAGTGAAAGAATATTTCGACAAACATGTAAATTTGTTCAGATGACACGCGACTTACACATGTATGCAAATGAGGTTTCCTTTAGATTACAATACTAATGGAATGTGCAGAACGTGGCTTACAAAGTAGCTGCGATTCTACCCTCAATTACAAATATGTGTTAATTATACAGAGTCCCAAAAATCGTACACACGTGTGTTTACATACATGCATATATACATGTTTACATACATCCATGCGTGTGCGTGTCTTTGAGCTTGTATATATATGTTTGGAGGAGGGGGGTCTGTGCGTGCGTGCGTACATGCAAGCGTGTGTGCGTGTATGTACGGACGATAATGAACAGCACTATAGTTGAAAGTCCAAATAACAACAATGTTAATGATGAGAACGGCAATGGTGATGATAACAGTGACTGGCAGCAACAGGCACAATCAATATCATGAAAGAAAAAAAACATAAAAACAAAACGTGTATCTATCGGTAAATTCGTTATTCTAATTAACCATTTTCTCTTCAGTGGCCAGTTTGAACGTGCCGGGGAGTCGTTAATCCTTAACTGTCACCAAGACAATTTCGACGATAATTATGTATGTCAACGCGCGGTGGTATAGTCTTTCAGCAGGTGGGAGACTTAATATGTACAGCCATATGGGTCCATAGATGTATAGTCACTCTCTCTTGCTCTCTTTCGCTCTTAGTCTCTATCCCTCTCTGTCTTCTCTGTCTGTCTGTCTCTCTTACACAAACTCTCTCTCTCTCTCTCTCTCTCTCTCTCTCTCTCTCTCTCTCTCTCTCTCTCTCTCTCTCTCTCTCTCTCACGCAATCCCAAACTAGTATGTATGCCAGCACAAAGTATCAATCAAAAATACATGCACAAACCCAAATACATAAGGGAAAGGTATGTGTGTTTCTATTGGGAAAGAACGTGCGTGATTTCGCTTGAATACACGTTCCTTTCGTTGCCCTCTCACCGTAGCATTTTCCCCAGTAGCACATTCATGAACAAATAAAGACATAAACTCGGCCACGCTTGTCTAAGTGTCCATCACGCTCTCTAGAGTGCGGTGTCGGCACTAATTCGTATGTGAGAGCAAAGGTGCGTGCCTTTCCTCGTGAGAAGATGTCGTGTTAAGAACCATGCATGCCCCTCGCCCTCGCTCGCTCTTTTTATGAGGGATCGATACCCCCTGTTGAAGGAAGGGGTGGGTGTTGCCGGACGCTCATAATTACTGAATGGGTCAGTAATTGTTTAATAGCCCGTGTTATAGACCTCACGATGGTTTGGCACGACAACTGAGGGGGGAAGGCACGTTGGGTGGTACGCAGTGCTGAAGTATTTTTATAGCCAGGAAAAAAGATGGTTTAGGAAATATAGTTTAGTGATATATCACAAGAGAACTAGTTAGTTCCAGGTCGTGCCTCGTATACCAGGTACAATTACTTCGTATATTGGCCGAATGTATTGTCAATTGATATCAACAGTAGAAATTCAAATAAGCGTGACGGGTACCTTTCGCAGTTTAAAGAAATGAAGGTTCGTTTTTTTTGTGTATATATGTATATATATATATATATATATGTATATATGTGTGTGTGTGTGTGTATGTGTGTGTGTGTGTGTGTGTGTGTGTGTGTGTGTGTGTGTGTGTGTGTGTGTGTGTGTGTGTGTGTGTGTGTGTGTGTGTGTGTGTGTGTGTGTGTGTGTGTATATACATATATATATATATATATATATATATTATATATATATATATATATATATATATACATATATATATATATATATATATATATATATATATATATATATATATATATATATATATATATATATATTCAAAGATATATAAAAGTAATTTCCAGACAAACAGAACGTGTACATAGCAAAAGCATATAAAATACAAGGCAGAACACACCCTCGAAAAGGAAAGGGAACTATCTTCATTGACAAACGTACCGTATCAAGCATCTACGGGATATCAAGCGTAAGTAGATAAAGCTCAAGTGTTAACACGAGTAGCCTTAAAGAAGGGTAGGTTCTCGTGCTGAAAACCATCGGACGAGAGGTAGTGAGACTCAAGGGAAGATGTACATGCGAGAGTGCGTGACTGGTTTGTAAAAAAAGGGAAGGAAAGAAAAAGAAATGAAAGCTTTACACGTAGAGAATCTTGAAGAAAAAGTTGATACAGAAACTCGGTGCAATAGCATTGTAAATGAATGGTGCAGTACATCAGCTGTCAGAATATGAGAGTGGACCGCGTGAATGAAACTCTGTGAATTATTAATAATATTGATGGGGAAAGTGATATTAGAAGATTTCATGATTTTGAAAGTAATAAGAATGGAAATTATGAAAAATATTAATTGTAATTCAATAATATTTGCGGAAGTAATCATCATCATTTTTGTCATCATTACCATTATTATTTTCATCATTATCATGATTATAATTCTCATTATTTGTGTTATTATTTGTAGTAGTAACAGTATTAGTGGAATATTCTTGTTGTTGCTGTTGTTTTTTATCATTATCATTACTGTTATTATTACTATTGATATTATCATTATTATCAATACTATTATTTTGGTTGTTTTCATTAATTATCATCATTATTTTCATTATCATTATTGTTATTATTATCACCATTATCATTACTATCATTATCATCATCAGCAGCAGCAGCATTATCATTATTATTATTATTATTATTATTATTATTATTATTATTATTATTATTATTATTACTATTATTATTACTATTATTATCATCATGATCACTATAATCATATTCATTATCATTATTACTATTATTATTATCACTATTATTATTATCATTATCATTATTATTATTATTGTTATTATTTTTTTATCATATTACTATCATCAATATTATTAGCATTACTATTATTCCAATCATGAACATTATTATTTTTAGCATAATTATTATTGTTATCATCAATTTTAATACAAACTATTACAAACTGTAATCATTATTGTTTTTGTAGTTTTCATCATCTCAGCATCATTTTGATGCCCATTATCATTATCATAATCATAATTATCGTTGTCATTATTATCATCAAAATTAAATTTTCCTTTTTATTTGTATTAATTAATAAAAAAATAACATAAGTTATAGTCATGATAATTATACAACTATACATGATCAGAAATAAAGGAAATGTACAATGGTAATAATGAGAACAAACATGATTTATTTTTATCGTCTAATGAAAATTATGATAATCCCTACTACAGCTCAAGATTATAAAACCATGTTGAAAATGCATTACTTACGCAAAGAAACAAAATATATCGAAACCAAAAGACAAAATCTGTACAGACAAAACCACATTCCTATTTCGAACAACACCGTTTATGGTCATGTTCAAAACAAACTACAAATATGGAAAGATGTAAAGGGATAACTAAATAAGTGAATGGATGCACGAAAGCTATTAAAAAAAAAGATGTAAAGAGGATAACTAAATAAGTGAATGGATGCACGAAAGCTATTTAAAAAAAGGATGTAAAGAGATAACTAAATAAGTGAATGGATGCACGAAAGCTATTTAAAAAAAAAAAGGATGTAAAGAGATAACTAAATAAGTGAATGGATGCACGAAAGCTATTTTAAAAAAAAGATGTAAAGAGATAACTAAATAACTGAATGGATGCACGAAAGCATGCACGAAAGCTATTAAAAAGGATGTAAGATAACTAAATAAGTGAATGGATGCACGTAAACTGTAAAAAAAAAAAAAAAAAAAAAAAAAAAAAAAAAAAAAAAAAAAGACTACGACTGTTGGTTAGTATAAGATGTGCACAAGTAAAATCTTTTGTGTACTAACGTAAGGCTGACGGTACACAGGGAGGCTGGCAACGTCTTCAGTTCTCCATTGGCTGAAAATGACAAAATAGAAAACGGTTAAAATAGAAATAACAAGCGAGGATGGAAAGAAAACGGGAAATGAGAGAGAGAGAGAACGGACAGAGATAAATAGATAGAAAGAGATAAATAGAGATAGAGATAGAGACAGAGAGAGAGAGAGAGAGAGAGAGAGAGAGAGAGAGAGAGACAGAGAGAAGAGAGAGAGAGATAGATAGAGAGAGAGAGAAAGGATATGGTAAGCAGATATTACGACTTTAAAGTGAAAAGAATCATATAACTAATTTTATCCAAACATGATTTAATATTCAGTTTAGAACGAGTATTTAAATTCCTATTTCTGTATTGATGCTATCACATACCTGCACCAAACAGGCTTGGAAAATCTGCAAATACAAAAAAGAACGTGTTACTATTGTAAACAAAACAATCATTACCATTATATATTATTCATAATGACAATAATATTGATTGTTGCGGTAAAGTCATTAATTAGATCAAATGCTAAAATCAATAATAATGGTAAAAAATGATAACAAAAAATGTTAACAATAATAATAATGACAATTACAATAAGAGGAATGATTATAAAAATGATGATAGAAATAACAACAACAATAATGATAACGATAATGATAATAATGAAAATATAATGATAAGGATAATAATAACAGTTATGTTAATGACAATGATAAAAATGAAAATGATGATAATAAAGATAATAATAAATACAATGATTATAATATTAATAACCAAACAGTTATAATACTAACAGCAATAATAATGATAATGATAATACTAGATATGATGAAAATAATTATCATTTTCATTATTGCCATTATTATTATTATTATTATTATTATTGTTGTTGTTGTTGTTGTTGTTGTTGCTGTTGTTATTATTGTTATCATTGTTATTATTACTATTATTATCATTATTATTTTTTTTTTATTATCATTATCATTATCCTTATCCTTATTGTCCTTGTTGTTTATGTTGTTATTACTACTAT